CTTAGGCTTACTCTCGGTGAATCAAAATGCCATGATTGATGGCATTTTGATTCACCGGGAGTAAGCCTAAGAGCTGAAGTAGGAGTAAGAAATAAAATGGATTTATTTCCTTACTCCTACTCCTTACTCCAGCTTACTCCATGTATTGTAGACCAGCCTTTAGTGTTTTGTATATCAAAGTAAGATACAATAGAGTGAGATACGTTATAATTGAAGTGAATGATTGGTTAATTTTATGTCCTACGTCGTTGTAAGTCGTGAAAGATAAAGTTCAGCCATCTTTTACAACAGGCTTTACACTCGGAAATGCTAATTTATAACTGTTTTACAACACTGTGTAACCACTGACAACCGCGTTTACGCAATTGTAGAATGGCCTTTAAATTAGCATTTCCGATTGTAGAGCCTGTTGTAAAATATGGCTGAACTTCATCTTTCACGACTACAGCGATGTAGGACGTAAAAGCTAAAAGCTATTCTACAATGGCATAAACGTAGTTGTGGGGTTGTAGGAGTAGAAGTAGTAGTAAGTGTTGTACAACAAAGTAATATACAATAGAGTGAGATACGTCGTAATTGAAGGGAATGATTGGTTAGCTTTTACGTCCTACGTCGTTGTAGTCGTGAAAGATAAGGTTCAGCCATCTTTTGAGGCCATTCTACAATGGCGTAAACGTAGTTGTAGGGTTGTAGGAGTAGAAGTAGTAGTAAATGTTGTGTACAACAAAGTAATATACAATAGAGTAAGATATTGTAATCGTAATTGAAGTAAATGATAACGAATCAGAGTACAGCCCAGTGAGAAATGGATTCGTCGATCGATGTCGAAACGATGTCGAATCGACGTCAATTTGACGGTATCGATTCGACATCGTTTTGACATCAATCGACGAATCATTTATCACTGGGAGTTTAGCGTTTGATAAGAGCGGTATAGACACGTGACAGAATTCTGATTGGTTAGCCATTACGTTCTATATCGTTGTAGTCGTGAAAGATGAAGTTCAGCCATCTTTTACAACAGGCTTTAAGGCTGGTCTACAATACATGGAGTAAGTTGGAGTAAGGAGTAGGAGTAAGGAAATAAATCCATTTTATTTCTTACTCCTACTCCTTACTCTAACTTACTCCATGTATTGTAGACCAGCCTTTACACTCGGAAATGTTAGTTTAAAACTGTGTTTTACAACACTGTACAACCGCTAACAACCACGTTTACGCAATTGCAGAATGGCCTTTACAACAGGCTTTATGATCGGAAACGCTGGTTTAAAACTGTGTTTTACAACACTGTACAACCGATAACAACCACGTTTACGCAATTGTAGAATGGCCTTAAGGCGTGAGATTTAAGAAAGCAATTCGTATCACAATCGATTGTGATAAGAATAATCGACGCGCGATTGGACATTTTCGTAAATCTCACGTCTCAGGCCCGGTCTAGAGACCCTGTAATCCGAGACTGGCCATAAGGGTTCGTCAAATTCCCGCGAGTGAGAGAGAAACATAGGCTATCTCAGACGAGCTTTTATGGCCAGTCTCTGATTACAGGGTCTCTAGCCCGCTCTACAATGGCTGCATTCAGCAGAAAAAGCTGCTTTGCAACTGTTATAAAATTCATGAACCTGATCGGTGTATTCTCTTAATCTTTGGTGAATTGAAGAGCATACGCCAATCAGGTTCACGAATTTTTACAACAGTTGCAAAGTAGCTTTTTCTGCTGAGCGCAGCCAACGAGTTGTTGTTCGTCTGTCAGAATTATATGGCAGTTCTTTATCTCCCAGAGAGCAAAAGGATCAACATATATATGATTCCGACTCCTGATTAACGACTCATTGTAGACCAGGTCTCAAAGATCTCTGATTGTAGACGCCGCATCAGGCAGAGAAAAACTCAAGTCGTACACAATGGACTCACGACTTGGGGCCTGAGCAGTTAATGGCTGTCTCGTATTCTTGAGTCACAAGACGGTTATTGTGCGTTACTTTAAAACAAAGATTTAAAACATAAAACACCCAAGTTTTTCTCTGCCTTATCTTACGTCTACGACTAGTTGTACGGCAGTCTTAAGCGTTTACGGTGCGTTCCCTGCCATCAGCCTTACAGAACATTTATCACAGACTGTACCTTCCTAATCGAGATGCCATGACACTGTGCTAAAAATTACGTGACTCTTAAGCGCAACATTATATTGCTCTCGAGCGACTTCAACTCCGTTTAATGCAATTATCATTGCGACGATAAGCCGGCGATAAATCGGCATCGTACAGGAAATAATTTAAAGCGGTGATAAAGAATAAAATTTGTTCTATCTACGCCGCGCGTGCCCACAAAATTTTCAGCTCACTTTGCGCGATCAACGTTTTCTCAAAAATAGAACGTTTTTATTCCTTTCTAGCTTTGAGAGCTGGAAAAGGTAAGAAGAAACAAAGCGAGATAAAATTAAGCAAACCGACATTGAAATTAGTCTGCGTCGATAGAAATAGCCGTTTATGTATATAAGACGGACAGTCGTCGTGTCGAATCAAAACACGTTTGCTTTTCGAGGTCAAGAAGTCTGCGCGTGACTATCGTTGGACTGTTTTTATCATATCTTTGCTTCATGCCCTCTGGTAGTAAAATATCAGCGTCCTAAAAAAACAAGAAAAAATGAAATGATCATGCGTTACATCGGGACGGTAATTTGCACTACGATTGTATCGCTGTTACCCCCTCGCACAGCTGATCGTATCGAAGATCATTCCCATAGCCACAGTAAATATAGACTGAGCGTCCCGTTAAGGTAGTTGTTTCGCGACAGTAATGCTCAAAAGTTTATTACAGACCCGGAGCCAGCACTCAGTTATTACAACGATATATCTCGATGCGATGTTGTTCTAAAGAATATTAAAGAAAAAAAACACGATTAGTACAATCCGCCTCGAAATCCGCCTCGTCCTCCTCGCGAATTCTTTTTTTTTTTTCTTATCCGCGACGCCACCGTCTATCGAAGGCACGAATTTGACGGATATATTTATCGACTTTAGAGCCGCGGGAAAAAATTTCCTCACATCTTGATATTTACGCCGCTCCGTGCTTTATGGCCGAAGTGTTTAATATTCATGGGTATGATATACATATTGGCATTAAAATATTCAAAACGGGATTTCGCTTTTTACTCCGGTGGAAACTGCGTCAGAGTTTCGATATTAATAAATGTTTCCCAATTTTAATCGGTTTCCCTTTCCCTCCTTCTCCCGGCGGGACGCGTCTAACGATTTATACGAAGTCAGCTCAGGCCCGACGCTCGAGGCAGGGAAAAGTTTACAAATGAGATTTTTATGATTATTTCTATAAGTTGGCCACATGTGGAGCACGCGGCTCGTATGCTTCTTATGTACGTAAAGGCAGAACCGCGAAAGTCGACTCGTACAACTTATTGTAATTCACGTCCATCTTTTTAGTATTTAAATTAATGATAAAGTATTTTTAACGTTAGACGTCCCGTGGTGACAAGCGGCCGAAATCAAAGTGCGTCGGATATTCATGTCGAACATTATCTTTTGTTTCAGCGCAAATAAATGATAAACCAGCGCCTGTAAACTATGCTGAGGTAGGTAAACAATTTAATTTGTTTAAGAGAATTACCGTTTTCGTATTGCTGTTATTATATTTCGCAACTGAAATTACGCTAATTAAACCAATCGGAGTGTCTTCTTCCTCATGTTGGTAGAAGGAAAATGTGGGGTGAAGCGGGCTAATGAATTGACTACATAAAAATAATTACAGGTGGTTCAACAGTCGCGAGATACTTTTAATAGCGGAAAAACAAGGCCGTTGGAATGGAGAATCAAGCAATTAAAACAGCTTATCCGTATGCTAACGGAGACCTCCTCGGAAATGGTGGAAGCATTGGCTACGGATTTACACAGAGTACGATTACATATTAATAAAAACAGTTGCCTCATTATATGCGTACATCATGTATCAATCTAGTCGTGTTACTATTTCTAATAAAACCTTCTCAATCGATTATTTTACAGAGTAAGTTCGAAACATTTGCGCTGGAAATCGATTATACGATTCAAGAAGTTAAATACATGCTCATGCATATTAAAGAATGGTCAGCAACGGAAAAGGTAACAGTCTGAATGCAATCTTTCACTACGTAAGATATACGTAGACCTCTTCCCCCCCCCCCCCCCGTCCATCGGACAACTTTAGAATAGTCTAGAGCGTAAATAATTTGACATTACGATATTTCGCAGCCGTCCAAGCCGCTGGCTAACTTTTTCGATAAGGTGGAGGTGCGGAAAGATCCTTATGGAGTTGTATTAGTCATGGGTGCGTGGAATTATCCTGTTCAATTGAACGTACTACCTATGATGGGCGCGATCGCAGCTGGAAATTGCGTGGTTCTGAAACCTTCCGAGATCGCAGCGGCTACAGCGAAATATTTATACGAGACCATTCCAAAATATTTAGACACGGTACGCGAGGACACTATTTGCCTTAAAAATTTCTTCCATTTGAATTTTAAATCCTTAGATTTCTTTACAAATTGCTATTAATAGAAAATCACGAAGGTCCTCATTTCATTTCTCGAGATTTCTCTCACTGCAACAATTCGTCCTTCTATTTGTGAATTTAAAAATATCCTTCGTCCTCAGAGGATAATGTGGTTATTCTTCAGTTTAGCTACACCAGCACAGAAATCATTTAAATTATGCTTATTCGACGCGTTTTTACACGAAAGACCTATATTGAATCAAATGGCTTGTATTGAACACTGTTGTAAAGTGCTTGTTGCATAATGATGACTCATAAGAACTGCGCTGAAGAGTGAAGAGGCAGTTTTGTTTTTTCTCTTCTCTCCGTGTAATCACGTGTCTTAGTTCGAAAGACAAGATATGTATTTCAGCAATACATTCGTATTATTGATAAAATAGAATTGATTCTACTTATCGAACGTCTACATCTTGCCTACTAAAAGCAGACTAATAATTTAATTGTGTTTCTTATAAACAGGACAGTTGCCGTGTAGTAATGGGAGGAATTTCAGAAACGACAGAGCTACTCAAGCAGCGTTTTGATTATATTTTTTATACTGGGTCGTCCACGATTGGAAAAATCGTGCGAAGAGCTGCTAATGAGTTTCTCACGCCTGTCACATTAGAATTGGGTGGAAAGAGGTAAACAATGTTTTTAAAAACTTATTAAAAAAGATATGTGCAAAAAATTTTAATTACACGTCCCTGAAAAACTTCTTTTGCATAAAATTGCACTGAATAACAATTTGCAGTCCCGTGTATATAGACAACACAGTGGATATGTCGATGGCAGTGAAACGAATTTTATGGGGTAAATGCATCAACGTTGGTCAAACGTGTATAGCGCCCGATTATGTGTTATGCTCACCGGAGGTACAGAGTAAACTTATCGAGGAAGCTAAAAAGATTTTAAAGGAATGGTATGGTGACAATCCACGGGAAAGTGTGGACTTGGCGCGCATTATTACGGACAAACATTATCAGTAAGTTTTACGCACTGTTACCACATATACTTGATACCATTATTTTTAACGCAAATAATGATTGCAGTTTTAATTGTTTAAAAACGACTTGACAAGTTAAATAACAATTAAATTTCTTCTGTACTTAGGCGTCTTATCAATTATTTAAACGATAAAAGCAAGATTGCTGTCGGTGGCGACGTAAATCCCGCAGAAAAGTATATCTCGCCTACAATACTTGTTGATATCAAATCAACGGATGCCATCATGCAAGATGAGATATTTGGACCGATATTGCCTATAATAAACGTTAATAACGCATACGAAGCAATTAACTTCATCAACAGTCGGTACGTTATTTTACTTGTGATATTACGAGCAAGAGATTATGTGAAAGATGCGTAACGCAGATATCCCTTTTTGAAACATCGCGCGTTTTGCAATTTAGTTCTGTAACCGAAATATTTTTATTTATCCCAACTTTTGTAATCGAAAATCGTCTCGTATCTCGGACAGGAGATTTTATTTCCGCGTAAATATGAATGAAAAAAAAAACATTCCGTGGGGTAAATTCTTAGTTTATTCTTTCATGCATTCATGCATTTTCATGATTTCACGATTTCACTGTTACACGAGGGAACGGCAAACGGCATCAAGTAATTAGTTTTTCGCATCTAGTGAAAGTCCGCTCGTACTGTATGTATTTTCTACGAGCAAGAGGGTACAAGATTTAATTATAGACCAAGTCAGCAGCGGAGCCGTGTGCGTCAACGACACGGTATTGCAATATAGCGGTGAGTCCGGATACTAGGTGACGGAAGTTTTATCTATATCGGGCCTATCTATTATTGTAAGGACTTCGGTGAAAGAGAAACCTTTGCTATGGAGACCGGCAAATCCCACCACACAATTATTTTCTTTTTTTACAATCTCTCTATCTTCGTAATTACGATTCGTGTTTAGGATGCTATTATTTGTTCGGTCGAAATTGACAGAGAGGCTCGTTCTGTCTATCGGAAGGGACTGTAGGTGCGATTGGTAGTAGTACAAGTTGATTTCTCAAACTGCTTATGAGGTAGCAGGAATGTTTTTCTTTATTAGGATTAAAGTTATGTTCTTTTTCTCTCTGCTTAAAACAAGCATATTCTGCATGGTACCCTGGTTTACTGGTGTGATGGTTGCTGAAGAAGAACGCTATATTTTTCTTTTTATACAGGTTTTTGATACTGACTGTAAATATAAATGTTCTATTTTCTTGTACATAAGATTTCAAACCCGGAAACGTTGCTCTCATCAAATTGTATATACTGTTCGAATAATACAATTCACCTGCAAACGGTGGTGGCTATTATGAAATGAGAAATATATTCACGTGTAAAGTACTAACATGAAAATGATATTAAGAAGGAAAACTAGACTCACGTATCATTAGTGTTGTATAAACGTAATAATCTAAAAGTATAATGTACCAGTCGGATGCTCATTATTATACTTGGACCGCGCGAGTGTATGCACGCGAGCACGCACATGTTCCCGTGCGCGTGCATACGCATACTTCGTGCATACAAATATACATTTTGGAAAAAGAAATAATATTGACATTCTTATATTAATTATTTGACATACAGGGAGAAGCCATTAGTGTTGTATATATTTAGTCAGGACAAAGGGACTCTGTCTTTGATGCTTAGTAATACGTCTAGTGGCAACGTTCTTGGTAATGACACGTTATTACACGCAGCAGGTAGTTTTTCTAACAGCAATGTTATACATAATTTTATAAATTATTCATGTGTATGTCTTAGCTCTTTTTTTTCAAGCAGCATTACGTAACGTTTTTGCTGGTAGAATATTATATGTGTATTAGATTTCTTTAAATTGCATCGCAAGTAATTAACAATAACATTAATGAGTATTCTTGCAACACCTTCGCTTTTATTTTTATCGTTCAATTGTGTTATACTTTGCATGCATTGTCCATGTTTGTTATTAATTTTCAAAGGATTTAATAGACGGTAATATTGTAGAATTGAATATTCACAGATGAATGTTGAGGATGTAATATATGTCATGAATATACCGTTACATAACGTAGCTACACGCTACTGCTACCTTAAAATTTGTGGAGCTTGTAAGCGACCAATTTTAATTACTTATTTTTAAAAACTATGGCACACTCAACATTTATTTGAGAATAAATTCTTTCATTGTGATTTACCCTTCATTAAATTCTTTTAATGGGAAATTTGTATATAAGAAATGAAGCAATAATTATATATATAATTTTTTTATTTATTAACAAAACTCTTTAGTTAAAACTGGTTAAAGATATTAACGGATTCTCTAACAAAGAAAGTAATAGAATAGAATAGAATTAGCTTTACTGTTCTCCTTAGGGTTACAATCTTCTTACACTGAGCCTTATATCTAAACTTATTATAACTTATTCTAACTTATTTTAATTTATTCTAACTTATCTTATACATTTTTTTCCTACTCTTTACATATTAACACGTACACACGCACACCTCCCTCTCGACTTCCACTTTCTCCTGCTTTATTTTCATTTTCTTTCAGTCTTACTTCCCCTCCCTCCGATCTCTCTCTCTCTCTCTCTCTCTCTCTCTCTCTCTCTCTCTCTCTCTCTCTCTCTCTCTCTCTCTCTCTTTCTTT